TATAAAGCAACACAACCAAACCGATAAATGATGATAAAGAGATCCTCTTACAAAGCAGATCAAAAAAAATACAAGAATAAGAATGCAGGAGCGTCCACACCCTACCATAGATCAACCTAGCTAGACTACCGACAAGGAAGGAGACTTGCCGCCAAGAGAAATTGCCGGACCTCGTTTAGCCACTCACGCCAAGTTGCCGCTGAAGAGGACCCCATGCCCTCGCGGTCCGGAACGTGGAGCCTGAGCCTGCCTACAGAAAACGAGGACAGTGAGTAGAACCAACGAGGACCCGTGAAATGGACTTGTCCCCTGAGAAGAAAGAAATTTGCACTGCACAACCTCAATAATCGATCGGTGTACGCAGATGAAACTTAATTTTATAGGATATATTTTTACCTGCCAATTGTGAATTTGCCAAATATTAGAATTTAGATGCTAGATAACCGACAAGAGCATGTAGTAGCAGGTACAAGAACCAGCCTAAAGCATCATGTTTGCTGTCACATCAGGGCACACAGAGTCACGGAGGTCACGTTGATGACTTACCCGTCAATGGGGTTAGAAATTCAAAAGCAACGCCTTACCAGTCCAAAGGTGATAGGGACGATGATAGCTTTGCCCCGATTTTCCGGTCAAATGTTCCGACCATAGTAGGTACTCCGCTCACTCGCCCGTCCACATATATCATTCTTCGAGCTTCGAGCACGGTATCCTCTCATAGTTGCATACGTCTCCCCCACCTCGTCACCGCCAAATCTCTCTTTTCCAATGGCTACTATTAGCTGCTGGTTCTTGGTGTTCATCTTGGTAGTATGATGGTTGCCGCTGCTGCTCGCCGGGTCTGAGGAGCAGCAAGTGGAAAACTGCCCGGCCAAGACGTGCGGCAACCTCACCATCTCCCACCCGTTCTGGATCCTCGACATGGAGACTGTTAGAGTAATCTTGATTACAGATGCTAGTACTGATTAGTAGTCAATTAGATTAGGAGAATCACAAAGTAATAGTCCGGCTCGGATGCATATTGGTAGTACTATTAGGAGTCCTAGTCGTTTGTACTAGGTTAGCTGGTAGTATACGCGTGAGTGTCCGAATTGTATTAGGACATCTAGTACGTATAGGATTAGGTCTGTGTTGGGTCGGTGGCTGCTGTGCATATATATATGCACTTGGCCGTGAATTTTGTAACGCGGAGAAAACATAGAATAAAGAGAGGAGAAACAAAGGGCACGACAAGAGTCTTTGGCTATCAATTATCTTGTGTGCGTCTCCGTCGTAATTTGATGTGATCGATTCTGTGGGCGGAATTCCAACACTTGGTATCTAGAGCAAGGTCGATTTGAAGGTGTGCTTGCCCCGGGGTCGCGACCCGACTAGCGCCTCGGGGCAGGCGATATGGTCACTGGGTGGTGCAGCGACGATGAAGAGCGAGCCATGATGTTCCTGGGTGATGCAGGGACGAGGAGGGATCTGGCGATCATCGTTCGGCGGAGCGACAAGGAGGGAGACGGCGGGCTGTCGTCGGCAAGGCGGCGGATGGAGATCGTTGACGGGAGCGGTGGTGCGGTGATGCAGTGCCGGAAAGTCGTCAAGATGGTCATCCATGGGAGTTAGAGTCAAGGAGTTGTGCGGGTTAGCACGATCAGTTGGTAAGTCGTCGTCGTGTCAGCGTCGTCATGTCCAAGTGCTCGTCTCTGTGAGGAGGCGTTGAAGATGAACCATGCCCAGGTCGTCTATGTGTCTCGACGAGAGGATCAAGTTCAAATATGTGGGGGCGGTAAACCAGTGAAGGTGAGTCTCTTCAATGAGGCCATGTCTCTACATGAGGCTGGAGTGCATGTGTAGTGCACAGGGTGGTGTGATCCACAAGGAGCCGGCATGTATCTTGCTAGGATGGATAGTGAAGTCCATCGGGTGGTGTTTTCCACAGGTTACTAGCGAGGCTGGGTAGTCCAAGACATATTTGAGGTGGTCCGTAAATTCGCCAAGTCAAAATTGAAGGAAAGATTGTTGCAAATGATCTAGCCGGCAATTTGACTTGTCGTGATGCGAGCGGATGAGTCGAAAAAAGGTGAATCATCAACAAGCCAAGACCAAAAAAGCACGGAAGACAAAGTGTGTTAAGATTAGGGAGAGATTGTTAGAGTAATCTTGATTAGAGATGCTAGTACTGATTAGTAGTCAATTAGCTTAGGAGAATCACAAAGTAATAGTCCGGCTCGGATGCATATTGGTAGTACTATTAGGAGTCCTAGTCGTTTGTACTAGGTTAGCTGGTAGTATACGCGTGAGTGTCCGAATGTATTAGGACATCTAGTACGTATAGGATTAGGTCTGTGTTGGGTCGGTGGCTGTTGTGCATATATATATGCACTTGGCCGTGAATTTTGTAACATGGAGAAAACATAGAATAAAGAGAGGAGAAACAAAGGGCACGACAAGAGTCCTTGGCTATCAATTATCTTGTGTGCGTCTCCGTTGTAATTTGATGTGATCGATTCTGTGAGCGGAATTCCAACAGAGACTACAAGATCGTGTGGTTCATTGAATTTTGAGGTCGTTTGCCTCAAAGACAGTTTTCCAATCCTCCGGAGCTCTGTGCTCTTCGGCTTTGCAATCATGGACATCTCTTACGAGGAACACAGTTTGCATGCCGTTGATCTACACAAAGAGACATACTTCAAAAAAGAAGAGGAAGACTTCAACGTCTCCAAAAGCTGCCATTTCCCGAGATGGAACGCCTCCGTCAAACTGGCACCCCCGTTTAAGGTCACCCCCGCCAACGTGAACCTCATCTTCTACAACTGCACCAAAACAGTGGCGCTGGTGGAGGTGAGATGCCCGAACGCGAGCAGCATGTTTGTTCGCGCGGGAGTGCCCTACGACGCGACTGGGACCTACGCCACCTACGCATTGGAGGGCTGCGATGCCACCGTCGTGCCGGTGATGGGCTCGTCCTCGGGCTCGGCGAACGCGAGCAACTACGAGCAGCTCATCGAAGATGGCTTCCTCCTGACATGGGATCCGCCCCCTCCAGGTAAGTTCATCCATCAAATCACCTTTTGATCAAGTTCGCAGCTAAGCTAGGATTGCTCAGTGCGTGATTTGCTGGATTGCCGTAATAGAACAAGCCGAGGATAAGGCTAAGTCGATCGTGTGGCAGATGTTCGCCGCAACTTCCCCTTCCTGCTTGCATAGCCCCTATACAGTCAAATTGACAGGTTCTGACTGACGTGCCAGAAACTTCGGTTGTGGCAAGCATGCAAACTAGTGCTCTCAGTAGGTACGTAGTTGTGTGAACCATTAGAAGTTCGTTAAACGAGTTGAACAACAAGTGGCTTCTAGGGCGAAAATCGATTTATGGTCTGAATTCTGAACTTCTCAAGTCCGCACCACGGTGAAAATTGGCATCATGGACTTGTTCACTTATACACTGAGTAGGCAATAGACTTTTTTAAATCCAGCCTAATGGGCCTATATTAATTTTCTAGGGCATTTTCTAGGCCGTCCTTAGTGGTAGAGCCGCCGGGACTTCCTATATCGCGCCTAAAGCGGGAAAATGCCACTAAATCAAGCGATGGGCAACGGCCCAAAGAACCATGCCTCGTCTCGCTGGTTGCCCTCGCTCGCATAGCACGTTCCACGCGCCTCTTTTTTCCTTTCGCTGCCTCCTTTGGAATAAACCAACAGTCCCGTGTAAATTAAAACTGCCCCCCCCCCCCTTGTTTTTGAAAAGTTCATGAATCCATAAAATAGTCACAAATTTTAGAAAGTTCATGATTTTAAAACCGATCAATTTTTCTGAAAAGGTTCATGAATTTGAAAAACATCCATAATTCTAAATTGTACATATTTTTTAAAATATTCGCAAATTAAACTAATGTTCAAGTTCTTTTAATAAATAAAGGAAAACCAACCAGAAATACGAACAAAAAAACAAAAAAATTAGCGCGGAACTGAACCTTCCCAGAAATGGGTGGGATGCTCCGGTAAACACTATGTCTGGGTACAAATTTTTAGGAAACATACCATTTAATGAAATCACTAGTTAAGGATTATCCTTGTAAAGGTCACTCCCACTTTCTTCGACACTGATAAGTGGGGCACATGTAGTGCGCCACTCGTCGCAAATTGGGCGTTTTCGCTTTTTTCGTAAATTCATTTATTCAAGCAATTTTATTTCTTCAACCGTATGAACTTGTGTATTATTTCTTGATCTTGCTTTTGGTTTAGTTGGATATATGTGCAACCAACACATTTTTTTCTATAAAAGGGGCGACATGGCCCCCATTTTCATTATGAAAATAGGAGTCTGGATACAACAAAACACACCACCACACCACTTTTTCCATCAGACCTGATGCAACACCTCATCAACTGATAAGCAACCTACATCCTAGACATATAACCATATCAAATCACCCACTACCGGAGAGAGAGCAGACTTTTAATATCTTTTTACAATTTGCACACCAGCCAAAACAATAAGCAAGTCTAAAACCTGAACACACGACAGAGCCGCCCAATTTCACGTAGACACAAAACATAGTCTTTGAGCAGAAGGATTCCACTCATACGCTCTTCTGTAGACTTCGTTTGCAACCAATACATATGAAGTTTGAATATTGTGCAGAGATTAGACTTCGGAACTGCTATGCGTCCGACGTCTTTCAACCTATGCTTTCACCCATCGTCGGGGGTCCAGGGACATCTTAATCGGCACCGTTGGACGAGTGTGAGCGTCGGGCATAAACCGTCGTATATATGACAACATTAGAATCTATAGCTAGTAGCCGACAAGAGGATGAAGTAGCCAACCGATACAGAAGGAACCAGCATAATTAAGCAGTTTGTTTTCTGTCACATCACGGCCACATAGAGGTCACGTTGATGACTAACCCGTCAATGGGGACAGAAAATTCAGAGACCGTGGCTTACAAGTCCAAGGCGTGGTTGAGAGAATTAGTGGATGATGATAGCTTTTGCCCCGATTTTCCAGTCAAATGTTGCGACCGTTTGTACTCCACTCGCTCGACGTCCACATATGTCATTCTTCGGCCACTGCATCTCCTCTCTCATACACATATCTCCACCGCCCCACGGCCAAATCTTCCGTTCTGATGCCTATTATTACAAGCTGCTGGTTCTTGGTGTTCGTCTGGGTAGTATGGTGGCTGCCACTGATGCTCGCCGGGCCTGAGGATCAGCTAGGGGAAGGCTGCTCGGGCTCGGCCAAGATGTGCGGCAACCTCACCATCTCCCGCCCGTTCTGGCTAGCTGAATTGGGGATGAGAAGATCGTGTGGTCCCTTGGATTTTGAGGTCGGTTGCTTCAACTACAGCACTCCAGTTCTCAAGAGCGCTGGATTAACTGGCTTTGCAATTCTCAACATCTCCTACGAGAATCGCAGTCTGCGTGTCGTCGATGTATACAAGGAGGAAGACTTGAGCCACTCCAAGGGCAGCTGTCGGTTCCCGAGATGGAACACCTCCGGCAAACTGGCAACCCCGTTTAAGGTCAGCCCCGCCAACCTAAACCTCATCTTTTACAAGTGCACGAAGACTCCGGCGCATCGGGGCAGGGCGCTCGTGGAGATAAGATGTGGGAACGCGACGCACGCGTTTGTTCGCGCGGGAGTGCCCTACGACGCGACCGGGACCTACGGCGGCTACGCCTTGACGGGCTGCAATGCCACCGACGTGCCGGTGATGGGCTCGACGAGCAAGGTGAACGCGAGACACTACAGGCAGCTCATCAACGGCGGCTTCCTCTTGACATGGGAGGACCATCCGACACCTCTCCCTGAACCTGTACCTCTCCCTGCGCCTGCACCTGCACCTGCACGTAAGTTCACCCGCCGAACCATCTTTTCATCGAGTTTGTAGCTAAGCTAGGCCATTCAGTGTCCATTGCGTAAATGCGTAGTGCTACTACGTACGTGTGACGTGCCAGAAACTTCGGTTGTGGCAAGCAGAGAAACTGGTGCTCTGAGTAGGCACGTACGTGGCCATGTCCACCATTAGAAGTTCGTTAACAAGTTGAACTGGGGTGTCGTACAGAACAACAAGTGGCTTCTAGGGCCAAGATCCATTTTGGTCTGGACTATGAGCTTCTCTACTCTGCCTAATCTGGACGCTGAACTTCTGCCTAGCCTGAACTCTGAAGTCCGGACCTCACAAGTCTGCACTACGGCTGTAATGCCTAGGTGTAGAAATGTGCAACCGAAGGTTAGAATTTTTCCTTTTTGTTACCATTACCTGCCAGCTGTGAAGGTCGTATCTACTCCATAGCAAACAAGAGAGCAAAGTAACCCGAGCCTAAATGATCAGGCTAAGCGTCCTGGTCGCAGTCACATCACGGGCTCATGGTGGTCATGGTCAATTGGTCATGGCTTAATCCGTCAAAGTCGTTAGACGGCCCCGCAAAAGAAAAGGAGTTGTCACACGGAAATTTCAGTAGGCACTGCTTACCAGTCCAAGGGTTCAGTTAGGGAACTTGCCCATTTTTCCAGTCAAACGTTCCGGCCAATAGTACTCGGCTCGCTCGCCTCCCCCATATATGGTTCGAGCTTGGACCATGGTGGCAGTCTGCCTTCCCGTAGCCATGACCACCGATCCAGCCACCTCCATTTTTGCTCACAGCAACTTCTCCAAATCTTATTGTCTGATGCCTCGGAGCTGCCGGTTCTTAGTCTTCCTCGGGGTTTGGTGGCTGCCGCTGATGCTCGCCGGGGCTGAGGAGCAGCAAGACAAGGGCTGCTCGCGCTCGGCCAGTAATTGTGGCAACCTCAACATCTCCGACCCATTCTGGCTCCCTGACTGGAACGTGGGAAGATCGTGCGGTCCGTCGGATTTCGAGGTCACTTGCTTTGGAAACGCTCCGGTTCTACAGAGCTCCCTCGGCATCGGGTTTAAGATCATCGATATCTCTTACGGGGAACGCAGCCTGCGCATGGTTGATGGAGGCAAGTTGGATTTGTTTCCCGGCTCTGAAAGGTGCCGATTGCCGGTCTGGAACACCTCCGTTAAGCTCGGCCATCCGTTTACGATCGACCCCGGCAGCCTGAGCCTCATCCTGTACAACTGCACGGATGGCGCGGCGGCGGCGGCGTGGGCGTCTGCGACAAGTCGGGACAGGGAGCTGGTGCAGACGACAATGGGTTGCGGGGACGAAATGAAGGTGTTGGCCAGCGCGGGAGTGCCTTACGACGCTACGGGGAGCTACGCCGGCTACGCTTTGGAGGGCTGCGATGCTATCATCGTGCCTGTGATGGGCTCGTCGGCAGGCAAGGCGAACGCGAGCTACTACAAGCAGCTCATCGACGATGGCTTCCGCTTGACATGGGAGCGCCCCACTCTCCCTGCGCCGGCAGGTAAGTTCACCCACCAGATCATCTTTATAAATTATAATCAAGTTTGTAGCTAAGCTAGGACAACAAATGGCTGCTAGGGCGAAGTTAGATTCTGGTCTGAACTCTGTACTTCTCAGCTCTGCCTAGTCTGAAGTCTGAAGTCTGAACTTCTTTCTCTGGTCAGAACTCACTACGGTCAAAATTGGCATCATGACCTTGTTCACTGGTCCACTGACAGCCCAGTAGCAATGTACGAAAATTAATCACAAAAAATAAAATAAAATGGGCGCAAAGGAAAATGAAATAAAAGACACACAAAAACGTACAAAAATAATCAAAATGAGCTAAAAGAACCCATCAATAATTCTTTTCTTGAGATAACATAGAACACATCAATAGGGCACTCAGACGACATCGCACAGTGTCTCTTCCCTCCCACTCAAAGTGAAATCAGATTTGGGCCTACGAGAAAATTGGTGCAAAAGGCATTTACTGGGTTGTATCTAGTCCTAGCCATGGGCAGCCCGGCCCTTTGTCCACGGGCCGGGCTCGGGCCTAGATTTTGAGCCCAAAGCTTGGGCTGGGCCGGGCATGGGCCTGCCATATTAGCGTTAACTGAAGAGGCCCGGACCAAGGCCCGAGGCCCAGCGGGCTTTTACATGGTTGGGCCGGGCTTGGGCCCGGTTTTCTAGGCCCGATGCTCGGGCAGGGCCTGGGTTTTCTACGTCCGGCTTGGCTAGGCCCGGCCCGAGGGATGGCCAGGTATACTTGTAACAAAGGGTTTCAAGCCCGTGACCGGGTTTCAAGCCTTGTCGGGGCCGCCAAGCGCTTTATGTTTCAGGGCCCCTTGAAATGTATCCGAATAAACATTGAATGTCATGGCATATTGTTTACTAGTACAACGAAAAGGCTTGGATAATAGTTAGCACCATACAGACTTAGGGTTCCCTACTAGGATGGATGAATTGATAAGCCCGGAGATGGTTTAACCTCCTTTCTAGTGAATTGATTTTGTGCCATCATTGATAGCATTTTTTCTTACCAGTTACAACATCTGTCTTGCACATCATCGATTGTAGCACATCATCTCGCCGGTTGCAACATCCTTCATTGACGGTTGTAGCATTTTTAGTTAGAACGGTTGTAGCATTTGTGGTCATTGCTTGCAATACCGTCGCAACATTTTTCGTTGCCGTTTGTAGCAAAAAATACTACGCTGATGTTACTTGACTGAGACCTCATGTTAAGTCTCAATGGACTGAGTTCTAGACATATCCAATCTTTAAATTCAAACATGCTGAACTTGAATCTACACCTCAGCAAACAAGATCAAAAAGTGGCCGGAACTTGAATGATCAGGCTAAGCATTCTTGCTCCAAGTCACATCACTAGTCCACGGGGTCACTGTCATGGCTTACTCCGTCAAAGTCGTCAGACGCAAATTTCAGAAGCCATGGCTAGCTTACTAGTCCATGGCGTCATGCCGTCATTACTGTGAAACTTCCTGGACGGTGATCGCTTGGCCCCTGTTTCCAGCCAATAGTACTCTAGTCGTTCGCCGTCCCCATATATGTGGTTCCATCTCGACCACGGTATCATTTGTTACGTGTATAGCCTATCTTCCTTCCATAGCCCATGACCACTGAATCCCCAGCTACCACCCATCCTTTGTTCTTCACCACAATCTCTCCAAATCTTCTACCCCGATGTCTCCAGCTGCTGCTGGTTCCTCGCCGTCCTCTGGGTTTGGTGGCTGCCATGGATGCTCGTGGAGGCCGAGGACCAGCAGGGGGGAGACTGCTCGGCCATGAAGTGCGGCAACGTCAACATCTCCGCTCCCTTCTGGCTCACCGACAAAGATACGGGAAGATCATGCCCGGGCTCCGATCCCTACCCAGACTTCGATGTCGCTTGTATCAACAACAGTATTCCAACTCTACGGAGCTCTATACCCCTCAACAGCGGCTTCAAAGTCCTCAACGTCTCTTATGAGCAACGTAGCTTCTACGCGGTTGATCTGGGCAAGCTCAACGTGTTGAACGCCACCGACAAATGTCGTCCCGTGTTCTATAACACCTCAGTCAAGCTCACCCCGCCGTTTAAGATCGCCCCCGTCAACCTGAACCTCATCCTATACAACTGCACAGAGGAGGACGGAGCAGCGGCCACGGCACGTCTGAACAGAGAGCTGGCGCCGACGAACGTGAGCTGCGGGAACCAGTGGGTAGTGTTTGCCCGCGCGGGAGTGCCCCAGACGGCACCGGGAACTACAACAATTACACTCTGAAGGGCTGCACCACCGTCGTGGTGCCGGTGCCGGCCTCGTCAGAGGGGGCGAACGCGAGCAACTACAAGCAGCTCTTCGACGATGGCTTCCTCTTGACATGGGATCCCCCGCGTCATCCACGTAAGTTAACTCGTCAAATCATCTTTTAATCAAGTTCGTAGGTGAGCTAGGACGTTCCGTGCCTAATTTGCCTGGATTTCCCGTAAGCAATCAATCATGCTAGTCAACAAATGAGGATAAGGTTGAGTTGATCGTGCCGGGTGTCCTGCTTGCCGAAGGCGTGGGGCGACTTGCCTATACTAGTCAAATTGTGACATGCTTCTTTTTTATTACGTAGATTATTTTTCGGATCACTTATACTAGTATATCTTGGCAGTATGGTGGCATGCAAACCCTGTGCCAATTAATACATCCGTCCACTGAGGCTGCCTTTGGTTTACAGGAATTTCATAGAAATTTCGTAGGATAGAATTTTGTAGAAAAAAATATCCTTTGAAGGCCCTTTGGCTTACATGAACGGAATCCTATTCATGTATGGGATTCTTCCTTTGTCCGTCCTAAGCCAGAGAACGAGTGGCTTCTGCATAGTCTGAACTCTGAACGTCTGAAGTCTACGTCAAAAATTGGCTTTGTTCATTTGTTCAGGAGTATAAACCAGAGCCTAGTCAGAAATAGACTTTCAGACATATAGAGTTGTGGGCTTATGTTTATTTTTCTGAACTTTCGGCCGAATTGCACCTCATTGGCCCACAATGGTGGTTGCTCTTGTCCATCACTTTATGCAATGGATATAATGCACTATAGGATCAAATCAGAAAAAAAACTGGCGCACTCAAGATCCAAATGTAATATATCGCTGCCACAATAAAGCCTAGCAGGTTTTCTAAAAAAAAAGCTACACTTCTCGCACCATAGAAAACCGGTTATTGAGGATTTCTGGTTTTTTAATTCGAATTTTTATTTTTTCTTAAAAATGTTCCCAAAATTCATAATATATTTATCATTGAAAAATATTTACATAATTTATTTTTTTCCTTAATTCTGAAACTCTGTTTAAAAAAAACTGCATGCTGAATTATAGGAAGTCTCATAAAAAAACTAAACCATGAATTCTAAAAATGTTTATGATATTTAATCGTCCATGAACAATGTTCAAGTATTGTTGGAGGTCCTAGCTTAGGAAAATAGAACTGTGTAGGGGCTAATATGTAATTTGTACATTGTATATACAGAGGTGAAGGAAGAGC